GATTAAATATTTATTTTACCTTTCCATGTAACCTTCCCAAAAACTTAAGATGTTTTTTTTTAAGCTATTAAAGGCAGTATTAAAAGCCATTTTAATCATGGCAACTGTTCTCTTAAAAACTTGACTTTTGTGGGACAAGTGAATGTTATTGACATGGTATAGTGTGGTAACATTTAAAATAGATGATAAAACTGTGAATGAAGGTTAATTAACATTAACAGGAACCACATTCCTTGTGTATAAAACTTGGCAATTTTTAACGATCCGGGAAGATGTTAATAACAAATGGTGCAATATTTATTATTGCTGAAATAATTTAGTATAATTGTTTTTTCTGTTATCTATGTAGCTAGGCTGGTAATTGTGAATCAACTGGGAAGCATGACATTTTATTGGAACATTTCAGAAAAACATTAATTAAAATACTTTGATTTTTATATCTGTAAAAATGAAATGAAATGATTTAACACTTTTGGTATAACTAAAAAAAAATTTTTTCTTCGTCTTCAAACTATTTATTTACTTTGATTTATTGTGTGTGTGTGTGTTGTTAGGTTAACCACAGTTTATTTTAGCTCTGTATTAGGGCTTTGATACTGTGATTGTCTGCTGGAATCATGGTGATGGATTACCTACATCTATGGTGAACATGTAGAAATTGTAAAATTAGTTTTAAAAAGGTTTTTTTTCTGTATGTACCATATTCTGAAGAATACAAATGTACTTACTTACAGCCAACACGGAGGAATACTCCAATCTTCTTCGAGCCGTAGACTGCACGAAACAGATTCTTGCACATGTGAATCAAGCAGTAAAAGAGGCTGAAAACTATCACAAGCTTTGTGAGCTCCAACATAAAATGGATCAAACTGCCTTTGAAAAAGTGGATTCTTTCATGACTCAAAACTACAAAGTTAGTAAATAAGCTAGAAATTGAAACTCTCAAAAATACTATCTTTGATAATTTTTTTTAATTATTGTTATTGTTATTAGAATACCAGTTTATTTTGTCTGCTAATTAAGAGACTATAAATTGTTAGTTGTTAATAGAGAATATGCTGACAAAAACAGAGCATGGTACGTCTGTGGTGTGTAAGATTGTAAGGAGACGTTGTACGTCTGTGGTGTGTAAGATTGTAAGGAGACGTTGTACGTCTGTGGTGTGTAAGATTGTAAGGAGACGTTGTACGTCTGTGGTGTGTAAGACTGTAAGGAGACGTTGTACGTCTGTGGTGTGCAAGACTGTAAGGAGACGTTGTACGTCTGTGGTGTGCAAGACTGTAAGGAGACTTGATAATGTCACTGTATCATTTTTTTTATTAATACTTAATGATTAGAAAAAGCTACACACAAATGTTGGCAGACTAAGAGTGATTTTCAGTTAAGACAGCTATATTTTTCTAACGGGGTGGTTGGCTTGTGGAATAGGTTGCCTTCAGATGAGAATGATAAGGGCTGGCTTTAAGATTTTTCTTTTAAATTTATTTATTAATTGTTTGTTTAGTTTAGAGGATAGGACAGCCAAGATGGACCGATAGGTTCCATGTTGTCCCAAAACATTGTTGTGTTAATTTAAGGGAGAAGGCTTGATACATATTTGAATGATAAGGTCCGAGTTGGGCTTGAGTATATTTATTTATATAGTTTAATGAATGGGATAGGACAGTCTAAATGAAAAACAAGTTTCTTGTTTTCCTTAAATGTCTAGAAGCCAATAATCTTGCAAAATGGATTAAATCATTCACTATTGAAAATAAGGTCCAATATTGTGTATGTCAGTGAAGTAGCACAAAGACTTCTTTATAAGAGTACAAGAAAGCAGTTAATTTATGTTGTCATTAACAATTGGCTTATTCAGAAGTATTTATAAACAAGCGTTAATCAAGGATTTCAACTTTAATGGCATAAATCTGTCATTTATGACTGGAAAAAAAAGTAGCTAATTAATTTTGAAAGCATCTATTCATTTTGCCTACATACTTTAGAATAAGGGAAATATCCAAATTAATGTACTTAATTAAAGTGAATGCAGTAGAGCTATTGTCTTACCTTGTATATTCTACAGTATTTAAAGCACCATTTAATAGTATTTCAACATGTTGTATAATGTGTGAGTATTTACTTCACATTTTAGAGTACTTTATATAATATTTGAAAGAAATCACTGTTATATGATTTAGTATTTCACATTCCTTGCACAAACCATTATACTTTTCTTTATTTACAATATACTACCACAAGAGGGCCTATTTATCAATGAAATTTGTTAATGATTTCCATTCTTAAGCTATGGATGTTCATATTTAAATGTTTAAACCTATTATTAACACATGTCTGATACATATTTTTCCCAATTTTCTCACTCCCCAATGGCTCAGTGGTAAGTCTGAAGGCTTTTACAAACAAGGTTTCTATACCAGTTGTTGGCACATTTGTATAAAAGTAACCAAAGCAAACCAAGTTTCTTCTATTTTTATTTAGTATCTTGATCTTACCAAGCACAAGTTAGTTCATGAAGGACTCCTGACTTGGCGCTTGTCGAAAAGGTCACTGGATATCCATGTTGTTCTATTTGAAGATATATTGGTACTGCTCCAAAGACAAGATGACAAACTGTTGCTGAAATATCACAATTCTCACTTGACGTCGGACACTAAAGTAATCCATAGTCCCATACTGAGAGTGCAGAATCTTTTCACTAGAAATGTTGCTACAGGTGAGGGATCAATCTTTACTTTTATTTAATCTTCTTACTAACAGAAAACTCGTACAAGTGAAGCTAGAAATTTTCTTTGGGATTGGCAGTGATTAATATACAAGATTCATCCATCAGTAGAAGATTGGAGATTGTTATACTGCTAACATAGAGCTTGTATATCTGTACTGACAATCTGAAGGTCTATCTCAGATTTTCTGCAAGGGATTGAATCTCCATACGTACCAAAGAGAATACTCGATAGCGTAACACGTAACTTCCTAATCTTTTTAATCAAGTGTGGGAAACGGTGCATATGATGCTGACTAGCTACACATGTAGCTTTTGGCATGCAAACACGTACGTTTTTTGTATAAATCTTGATTGCTTTCATATATTTATTTTTATAATAGAATCTAAGAAATGTTTGTTTTAAGAATTTATTGTTAATGAACAAGTTTTGTTGTCCGGTTTCGTGTATTCTGACAATTTTAAATTTTTCGTGAATGAGACCAATATAAATTTTGTTCAACAAAGTTGGAAGATGTGTATTTTGTAATTACTGTAATATCTAAGTTAACTTTCCTTTGTATAATATTATACAACAGAATTTTTATTTTAGTATTAAATTCTTTTTAAGATCGTTCCGATTAAGTTTAATCACGAAATTTTTCATTATCTATTTAATTGAAAGAGTCAAGTGTCTGTGTGCTTGGAAAACCTTTTAAACTTCCTTAAACTATGCAAAAATGAAATTATGAGTAGGGAAGTACAGACAATGATATCTTATGCATAAGGGTGGGGTGTATTTAGATAGCACTATACATTGCAAAGGGAAGGGTATTTGGGGAATGGATCTGTCATCCCTCAGAGCCCCATCTTGTACAGTAGTGTTTGTGTTAATATGTGTGTGAATTTCTTTATTTGTTTATAGACACTTAGAGTAGCATCACCCTGTTGAATTTTAATACTCACCCATTATATCCAGATTATTTGGTTCGTCATTTTTATTCTGACCAATCGGCTCAAAGTGTTTTGTACTAGAGGTGTTGCATGGGTATCGTATATTGTGGAATAGGTTTAACCTCACCATTACCGAGATGCTCCACGTGACCAACAGATTCATTCAGAACCTACATTCCTAACCTCTTACATCAGTTATTTAGCCAATCCACTTAATTGTTTTAATTACTTTAAATACATAATAGCACCTTTACATTTTGTAAACCTTGTGCATTCAGATACCAAAAAAAATGTTTCATATACGAAGCACGAGTTCCTCCCTCCCCCTAGTTCACTGTCAAAAGTAAATCGCCAATAAGAACAAGATATCAAGTTTTTATGCATCTGG